CATGTAGGTTTGGGTCACGATTGATTCGTATGGCATCGACTGTTTGACAGCTGACATTGTTATACTTAACACTATTTCCTCTAATACTGGTTGAAACTTCCGGGTGTAAGCCCTGTCTAATAGAATGACAGTTTTATGTGTTAAGTGCGACAGATTAATCCGTGAATGCTTAGAGACTCGTTGCAGCAGTGAATAGTTAGCTCTGACTGATGCAATTGCTGAAGAAATCTTAAGACGAGGGGTTAACTCCTCGAAGAATACTGGTACATGTCGCATATTTAATTTCTCTTTGATTCAAACAGAAGCTTTCTATGAGCTTTCTAGAATTTTATTTTCATTTGCCACTTTATGGATGCAGAAACAGACCCTCAATTCATGGCCTTTTTTTCGTCCATCGTATCTGTCATATCCTTTGACTTCTTCGAGGTCTTTAGGGTGGCTTCATCCACGACTGATCTATTCCTAATTTATGTTAGGACCTGAAGTAAAAGATCGAGGTGAACCCTGGAGAACTTGAAATCCCTTAGCAGTTTATGGGTTGGGTCGTGTTCAGACAGTGAATATCCAACGCGCTGATCCCGCCAGACAAAATGCAAATTTTTCGTGTGCCCCGCTAATCTGTCTGGCGCATCCGTGACGTCAGGTCCCATTGGCGGAGACACTGATCACCATAGAGGTGTTGACCTGGTTTTACTTCTTGTTCAGCTAATTGAAAGAAATTGAACGATTCATCGGTTACTTTAAAATAAAGCCCCGTAGACTTTGTATCGTCGGAGCGGAACAATACGAGAAATATCGGGTTTCGATGGTAAAGCTTTAATACGCGTTATCGTATCGCTTTCAGATTGCACGCGAGGAAAAAGCTCGACGCCTCTGCAAACTATTCTAAACGACCCTCCGCGTGCGTATCGTATTAAATGTTGCGTGCCGTGCATAACCTGCCTCTCTCTATGGTGCCCACCGTGTATTCGCGCATTGTACGCGATATTCTTGTCGTCGGCGCGGATGAGGATGGTACACCTTCGGTGTACAAACACGATTTCTGCGCACACGCAGGCTCACGCGGTGGACGATCAGTGTTGAGGTACGAGGAGGAGGTGTAGAAAGAGATGCAGACACGCGTTCCACTTACCATTTTGAATGACATTGCAGCAAGGAAATTTATTCATACGCTTACTGACTTGGTCATTTAATAACATCACCATTCGGTCAAACATTATGGGATTATTATTTTACTGTTAACTGTGACTCATATGTACTATTTTTAATACTGTCAACGTCATGGAAGTAATAACGTCAATATTATTTAATAAAAAATTATTTATTGATGCAATGTTATTTTTTAGTATTTAGGGGAGGGTCGTCTATTTATTTCCCAATAAGTGGCCCAAAAGTTGAACCCCCAAATTTGTTCGAAAATTCTGTAAAGAATTCATGGAACAATTACTCTAGTCCATATATCCTTCACAGTCAAATGACGAAAAAAATGCATTATTTTATGGACTCTTATGGGTCAATCCGCTCCCACACTCTTGTTCCGCAATGATATCGTGTTCTTTCTTCCAAGACGATTCGTTTGTTTTCTTCGTCGAATAGTATTCTCGTTCTTCGCTGTTCGAGTCGGTCCAAAGAGGCGAAGGTGGAGGCTAATCACCACGCAATCACCGCTCCCGGTGCGGCCAACTCCGACCCGTTCTCAGAAAGCAGCAACCGCCTTTTGCCGCCTCGAGGCACAACACCACCTCGGTATCGGTGTAACAAAACCAACAATCTTCATTCTCAGCTCCGCGGAAAAAACGAAGAAACGAATCTCTCCTTACCCTGACCGTCGTTCCCCTTCGCCGCCCCTTTTCTCCAAATCACCGGAGGGTCGATCGATCGGATGCCCGACTACCGTCGTCCAGGGAATCCATCGCGAGAATGACGGCGATTCAGCTTTGAGAAAACCGATCGACAGACCACGAACGTGCGCATTAAACGGCCAAGTGAGCAATCTTCCGAAACACGACATTGGCCGGAATGCAGATCATTGGGAGAAGGGACGATGCCCGTATAGCGCCGTTATTATAACCCGTGATGATTACCATCGGAAATTTGCTTCTGATTTTCATATATCCTACTGATCAGACGGTCATTAAAGAGATCGTTAAGATTCTCCTTGATCATTGTAACACATCGAACATTCGCTATCCTTGCAACGGTTAATTTACGAGTATTTAAATTTACAAATTGAGTGGCAACTTTGCCTAAGAATTATTTGAAATTCTTGAATTTATCTTACTGCTACTATTGGAAGTCTGTGGTTTTCGATGAAATTCGCAGTTTCGGACTTTCTTTTTAATTTTAATTAAAATCCTAACTCTGTTATGAAATTTGAATAGATGAAGAATTTCAGCTACCCCTGTATAGCCATTTTTCTTTGGGAAGCCTACTCTGGTAATAGAATTATAGGGTAGTCTAAAGACAAATTAATACAATTGGAAAACAATAATCGTTAGAAGCGTACACAAGATGGGGTGCACCTAAAGCCAAGACTACCTTCACCCACGCAATGTGTACATCTTCGAACGGTATAAGTCGGCCTGGAAGCTGCGGTGGAAAACGATTGCAGAAGAAGAAGAGGAGGCGTGAATTTACGATAAGATACATGCGATTGGCTCCCTTCGGTCTCGCGGCAGCGTACTAATCGAATCGTGACTTATTGTCAAGCGAACAGTTGTAAAGTTCATACTCAAAATACGAGCAGGGGTCACGTTCGTTAGAACTTTATGATACGCGTTTTCAATGCTAGCGCGATTCTACTGAAAAGATCCGAGCTAACAGCAATTTTCAACGCTTTCAACAATTGACAACATTGAACACCGTCGATTTGCGCCGGTGAACCGATCACTTATTGTCCTTCTGGCAGTTCAAATCGGCCGTGTTGAAAGTTGACTAGCTCGTATAGTTTGTTTTCGATTAGCAACGCGTGCTTTGCGATTCGAGTTTGCAAGTGAAATATCGATGTTAATACGATATCTAACATCAGCCGGTTCTGCAATCGGCTTTTCTCTATTCACATGCAATGCGAACGTTAACGGTTAACCGAATCGAAACTTGGATCTTATCACAAGACCATCCTTAGGAATCAGAATTTTTTGCTCTTTATACTGATTACATAAATAGATAAAACTTTGATATTTTCAGAAGAAAATTAAATAATTTTTAGACATTCGGCTCTAGGATTCCCATTTATTATTGGTATTAAATCTCCTATAAATTCTTTAAGAGAATGTCCACTCTTTCCCCATTAAAATTCATTGAATTTTAACACAGATAGATATTGCTTTATGAGAATGTTATGCTTCAAGAATCTTTAAACCTTTTCCTATGCGTTTGCTAATTCTAGTTTATTACACGTAGATACTTATCGCAACTTCGACACTATCGTAAATAAAATTTTCAATTTTTCCGATTATATAAGCTTGTCAGTGCAACAGGCTTTAAATACCTATATACAATCATAAAAACTAAAATATACATTTTAGATCATTATTGCTCTAATATCAGGGACCACTGATGACACACCATGTGCGTCATTGACTCTTTGAAAAAATTGAATTTGAAAGTCTTTCGAAATATTTATAAATAAATTTGTTTATGGTAGAGAAAATGACAATTACTGTATCATATACCATACCGTATAAGAATTTGGCGTCGAGAACGTTGGGTACGTGTACCGACAAAGAGCTCGAGGACCACCACGAGGGTAATTAACGCGCGTTAATTGCCTGTGCGCGTGTGTACAACCATCAGAAGTGGTGATGCATGTGTTCGGAGCCGAGCTGTCACGGCGATTCGATACGATCGTTCGTGCAATTCGCACGTCAGTCACGCGTGAACGAACACACGTCTTGGCACACGGGGCCAGCGAGAGCACACGTGTGCCATTCTATGTCGCGCATCTTATTGTTAGGGTATGTTTTCATATGACGGTAAATCGTGACATTTAATGTTATGATACAAAACATAACTCTTGTTGCGTTGTCGTGACATTGGATTTTCTGTCATAACTTCAGCTTTAGTGTCACGACGTCAGATCAATGATGCTTCACTGTGGTGGCATGGAATATCATCATTTTTATCATTATAAAATTTTTTTTTTTATTTGTTTCAATATTCTTGAATCCATCAAAATTATATTCTCATTGAATTTCTGATTTCGGCTGAAAAAATTACAAAATTCAGACTTGCTTGATTCTTGGCTGTTTGACTCTGACAATGAAACGAAAATTGTTAGCGTGTTACAATATAGTAAATAAATCAGTTTTAATCGGCACTCAGCTTTACGTTTACACGAAATTCAACGATAATGAAGCTCGGGTGAAATTTATTAACCGACGGGGGTCAGAGCTCGTAAAAAAGTACATACGAAAGATCTGCACGCCTTCGGGGTGAGTTCGTTCAAAGTATGGAATCGCGAAGGAAGTCGTAAGCTGGGACGCTTAATTGCGCAATAAATCCTGATTCTCCGATTTGCAACCCATTTCCTACTGCGGGGGCGACGATTGGTCGCTGTTAAATTGGCGCGTAGGTGCAATGGTAGGTACCTACGTATCCATGTAGGTACACCGACTGTGAAAGTCGGAAGAGCCTCGATTCTCCCTTTTCTTCTCTTTCTCTTTTCACAATCTCTTTATCACACCCTTGAATGTGAAACTGCACATCTTTTATTTAATCTACCCATTTAACATCTTCCTAAATTCCTTATACAGCTGATGGATACTTTTGATTATTCAAATTTACACAAAATTCGTCGTGTTTCAAAATAAAATAATTAATAGATTATTTGAAAAATTATTTGTGTAATCTAGGATGAACATAAAGTGGTGACGCTTTAATTTTAGGGGTAGTTATCCATGCTAAAAAATTTGCTCAAAATTTAATCAAAAAAGATAGTTGATTAAATTTCTATACAGGTAGCTACTATTCTGACGTCGAGTATTTTAATTGCATTATAGATTCGGTGGCACAGACGATTACCTGGATGAGCCTCGCATTCTTCCTGAGTTCGGGCCTGAATACGGTTTCAGGTGCACCTGCATTCGGCCTTCGCACCGCCGTATCAAACACAAATACCATGGACCGTTGGTTGCAACCGTGTGGCAATCCAGTGGCGATGCAGTTCAAGAGGATGCCACAGAGGCACAGCGTGCACAGGACCCTGAAGAGGGTGCGCACCCAGTTACGAGTAGCTCAGAATCACTTTAGAATGCATCTGAAGGATGTGCACGATATATACTCGAAGGTAAAGCATATATAACGTGGTTCGACCTGACCGCGATTCGTAATTAATCGGTGAACCGTGCCGGGGTAAAAGAGAGTGGGCGGCTGTTTCAAAGAGGCTCGCACGTGCGCGCCAAGCAACGTTGCTAGTGCTAAAGTCCTACTTTCTGTTCTGTCTGTAATTTGCATTGATTACGATGTGACACGATAGTCATATTTCTTTTTTTAACACCTCGAATACCGCGGGGACCAGTTACCACCGGAAGCACATTAAAATAATTCAATAATTTGCAAGAAATCGAAGAAAATTTTAAGTATATTCATTTCTAAGGTGTCAAGTGGAAAATTAAAATTAGAAAATTAAAATAAAAAATGTATTTTTAGAATTTCTCCATAAGGGAAGATTTTGAAGAAATAAAATACCAAAATAATAGCGAGGAATATATGGATAATATTAAAAGAAAACAATGTTCTCATGTTTCATTCGCAGGTGTACAAAGTGCTGAAGGGGCAGTACAGAATGCCCTGGCTCCCCGAGAAGGAGCTCGAGTGGTATTCCAGGGAGGTTTGGTGTCTCGAAAAGGGAAAGAAAGCTGACCGTGCGCTTCCGCATCTTCACGATTCGCTCCAAAGGTTCGCCATCACGTTCCATCATCTCAGAGCTTTCCGTCTGAAATCTAACATTAACGTTGATCTCACGATGAACAGGAGAAACGAGATCATTAATCAAATGCACAATGAGATTCTTAGGGTACGGAACATTTAATACCATACGTCAACACGATATCTGCTATTTTTATCATGTGTAGTAATAAATTCTTCCTGACTGACTTCATATTTTATTTTGTAATGTCGATATTGTATTTTCAAAATTAGGATTGTGAGAACTTATCATACGAAGTTTCATCATAAAACACTCTGCCATCAATATATTAATAATAATTAATTATTGAAATTCTCATTACAATTTTATGATTGCCAGTGACAGGAAATAAAAATGTCAATGTTGCATTTATCGTTACAGGTTCTCTGCGAGGTGGAGACAGCCATTTTGAACCTGGGCCTGCAAGTGCCAACAGCACACACGGCCAAAATTGTCACGGAAAGTTCAAACTGGGCAAAGGAGGGCGACTTGACCCTGATGTTGATTCAGGATTGGGGCGTTATCAGATTGTATCAGACGTTCCTGAAGGCCTGGACCGAAGCGTTTCGCAACGCAACCGCGCCAGGACCGGGCACATGTGACCCGAACAGGCCACGTCCAGCAGCGAAGAACATTAACAAAGGATCCGGGCCAAAGGGTAAGAGGATATCGAAGATTAAGAAACAAAACAAGCCAATTAGGAAGCAACCAGTGGCCGGTGGCCAGAAAAGTTCCTTGCCTCAGGGACCACGAAAGGGTATTCCGAGGAACAGACTGTTGAGAAATAAACAAAAGAAACTCGTAAAAGTATGATGAAATTAATCTTACAAAGGCTTCTTACGATTTTCATCAGATCTATCAATTATTTTGAAGGGAGGGTTAACAGGCAAATGCTACTTTGCGACAAGGAACTCTCTATTATTATGACTGGATCGCCTTTAGCGAACTACATTTTACTATTTCTTGCAATTATTAATTTATAAAGCATTTTTAACGCATATTTAAGGAACGTATCTATGTTTTTTTTTTTTTTTTTATTTTATTTTATTTAGACGATTTGAGATTCGTTCGGTTATATCAGGTCTGGGCAGTTCTTTTTGGGCTCTAGATTGCCTAAGAGCAAAATGTTGGACAGTGTTAGAGATATTAAGGGCATCAAATTGCTCAGGCCTATTTTATATAGTATTTTCTTTTATAATCCTTTTTATTTGTGTTTTTAATATTAATTTATTATTTAAAAATGATACGCCTGTGGATCTTCCCTAGGAAAAGATTTTTCCATTATTTGAACGATCGTTGACGTATACATTCTTTTATTTTATTTATTTCATTATTACGATTATAGATGCTTAGTATTTTGCAATCTTGCCAGTTTGTTCCGATGAGATAGTTAGAATTAGAAAAGAACGACAATCGTATTAATTTCGACAACTGGTGCGTTTTGATATAGTTATTGAAAAATCAAGTTGTATACTAGAGACCAGTATTAAGAAGTGTACTTCAGAAACAGTATTATGTTTAATAACATACTTAATAAATAGAATAGCGACAACACTAATAAGATAATTGATTCTTTGTACGAGGTGATGAAATGATTAGAATAGGAAATCAGAATCTTTGCATTCGACGCAATCGATACTTGATTAACACGTTGAATGGCGCCCTATAATTACGATTATTTAAAACACAATCGTTTCATTTTTCAATTTGAATGTGACTTAAACATTTTTTTCTCTCAGTTATTCGATTGTATTGAATTTATGGCACCGGTTACCGATGGCCTCCACCGCATTCAACATGTTAATCGTGAAAAATAAAACACAATACGACGAAGGCTTGAGATGGTATCGAAGATTTCGTAACGTGCGAACAGTCATCGATTTAATCGCCAAGAAAAGAGAAGGAACAAATGGACGATGGGTTCGTCAAACTTATTTATTGTAGCTTTAACGTAAACAGGCGAAAAGTCGTTAATGTCGTTTAGCTGTGATATCTCGAGCGTACGCGGACATACAGAGTTCCTACGTTTTTAATTATAAATAGACATATTATATTAGAATTGTAAGTGGCGTGTGTTAACGCGTACAACACGTATTTAGTTATGTATAAAATCGTTAATCCTCTTTTCTATTTTTCTTTTCCGTCAGTCCGTAGAATCTCGCGTCTCGTCACGTACATGACAGTTTTTATCTATTAATTTTCTTCTCATTCGTTTACAAATGTATGCGAACAATTGTAGAGCATTTTGTACGAAATATTTTTCGTTATAGTAGACTATTGATAACTTGTTGGTCAAAGTAAGTACTTACATGTAGAGGGTAATAGCGGATAGTTATCAAGTCTACTACATCTCAGTTCTGTATTAATTAAGGAACCCTATTCGATGAACGCCAAATTATAGGAGTTTGTGATTATTTTTTACAGAAAGATTTTTTTCAGAAAAATTACAATGTAAATTTAATTAAAATTTTATAAATTACAAAAATCTTTCGTTAAAATATAGAATGTTTAATTTTAGTCAAAACATTTTTTATATATTTGGTAGATCTGGATCTCAATAGTTGTTTAAAAAATTATGAATTTATTTTTAAAAAGTTTTTAAAGGGTTCCTTTAAATTTAGATGAAATTGACAAAGTAATTTTGCTGTAGTTTTTCAATAGATTGAAATAACAGACGGGAGAAATATTATCAAAATACTAATAAAAAGACTGCGGATGTTTATTGCAAAAATTAATTATATGATACGTATAAGAAAATAAAATAAATTCTTTAGAACGTGTAAAATATGTAAAATCTTAGAATTAAGGCGATAGTTTGAAACACTTGAAGAGTGAAGATATTTTATAAGTACATACTTATATGTACATAAACATTCGCAGTCTTGTAATGACATAAAGGAGGAAATAAACTTTAATTAAGGAGGCATTCCCATTTGGAAGGGCCATTTTTAGACAATTCTTAGAAGTGGAAATTAATCGACCAAGATTCGATAGTTGATACTATTAATCTTAATTGGATAATTAATTTTTATGAAACAGAGTCATTCGGGCAGATTACTTAGTTTCTTGAACAAAATTTTCAATATGATGATTTTCAATAGATTCCGTAAAATATAAGGTCATCAAAGTGTCAAAATTGAACAAACAAAAATTTACAATTTTTTCATTACTCTGTAATAAAATTCAAGCGAATTTAATTGCTAATGTAATATGATATAATTGTTTTTTTAAGAACCTCTTCTCTAGTGTACGGATATTTAGGATATTTCATAACGAAGGGACCATTACGATTCGTAAGAATGATTCGCGTACGCAGTGAACTTTGATGAACACAACGCAACTTCGCGATAATGAGAGTACAAGGTGTCACAATAATGTTTCGAGTATGTCACTTAAAAATTAAACAAATGTGTAAACCGTGAAGTCATCGATTTAAAAATAACTTATCTGATCATATGTATTTTTGTCGATACTCATTTTCTGGTATCTGTTTTGGTATCGATCTTTCTATCTTTGGCATTATCAGAAAAAAGATTATTTAAAAAATTTATTCGAGAAAAACTAGTTCATTAATTAATTTAATTTTTATGTTATTTGAAACTCAAACAGCTTGTTCGATGACTAAATCAATTGATAGTGTTCTGAAAACTTTATTATCACATCTTGTACATTAAGATTGTTACATAAATAAATTCATTAATAATAACGAATTTATGGATCATTAAAATTCCTAAAAATTTCTATGTAAATGGCATAAGTCAATTAACGTACACATGAACTTATTTATGTAACAACCTTGTAATTTGTTTAAATAAAGACAATCTATGCTTTGTATCGGAATCTGTACTTAGTTTATAAAACACTGTACTGTAATGTTAGATATTTTTGTACTTGATATTCACACACGACGTGATACTGGAACGTTTTTTTTTTATACACGTGCACATAGATCGTAAGGATTCCATTTTGCATTTTATATCAAGTATACGTAGTAGGTATATTTATTCTGGCGTACACATAGGCGTACATAATGTTACGATTTATTTATTATATCACGTTACCATTGCATATATTATTTATTGTCATTTCTGTACTTATGTAATCGTCTCGAATAAATTCGATGTTTTTTTTTTGTATTGAATGAATTGTTTTTTGTTTGCCGCCTGATTTTCTCAACATCCCTTTTGAATGTTTATTGTTGCTTGCAATATTTTGTGTTTATGTGCAATAACAGAGTTTAATAAATTGTAACAGGAATTTATAAACTGTTCGAGTATATTCGCTACGGGTCTCGATTGCTATCGACAGACTGTTGTAGCAAGATAATAACGTATCGGCTTTGGTAAACTTGTGCTGGTGCATAAAGTGCAATTTAACGACAAAAATTCAATGAAAATTTAAGAAATAATTAATCAATTTATGTTTAGCAATTTTTGATAATAAGTTTTTTTGATAATATTAGAACTTTTTAAATAATATTAATTTTGACTAAATAATTGCAATTATTGCAGTTTAATGATATTCACAACAAAATATTTATTTAATTTTGAACAATTAGAGGGCCAAAAGTTTATGATAATCTTATTAATTTTAAATTTTATTTTTCTATACTGAATTATGATTATTGCACATTTGTATGTAACTTTCTCTTTCGTGGAATTTTTTTTTTCATTTATAGACTTCAATTATTTTGGCTATTGGTTCTTTAAGAAATTTATTGATTTAGTTTGTCCCTATTTGATGTTTAAATTTCTGACTGTAAATTAAGATTGTTGGCCCTTCAGTGTCCTTTATCGACTCAAAAGATACCCTGAACAACTGGTTGCAGTATCAGGAGTGCATGAAGGGTTGTAAGGTTGCAATCGATATTCATTGCCCTTGATATCTAGATACGTATATGTATATCTTTTGATTAATACATGTTTTGATTAATCTAACATCAAATAACATAAATGAATTGAAATGGACCAATCAAGATATACATGTAGAACATCTAAATCTGGACCTGTAATTTTAGATAAATTCAAAAGTTTGCAAATTAACGATTCCTATTCTTAATAATTAATATTACGATATCTCTAAAAACAAAGGTCAATGTGTTAATTTTATCAATATTACAGGTCTATAAATGAAAAGGAATTTTAACCACATCCATTACTACGTATTGACCACCAACGATACAACATAAAATTGACGAGCAAATTAAACGATTGTTTGTTTCTTTAGGACTGCAGTTTGCGCGACTATACGCGGAATAACACATGGCTAATTTGGTCGCGTCTTAATCGGGCGTGAGAAGATCTAATCTTAGTTCAGTGAATCCAACGTCTGCCTAATTGTAGTATCACCATGTATGGCACACGTCTGACATATTACGTCGGATCAGCGTCGACGTAGGATGAGTACGTTACGTCGATTTCATTCACGATTTTTTGCAACTTCGTTCGGTGTACCAGTTCCAGCACCGACGCAAAACTATTGACCTACTGACGTCAATTTTTCGAACCGTCTGCTTTCGTTGCAAATGCAAGCTTCGTTTCACGAAATTACTGCTATACATACTTTGAGTTTCAGTTTACTTTGTACTCAAAAAAATGTGCTTTTTAAACTCCTGCTTTATACAGATGATGTTTCAAGTTGGAGTTGAAATCATTTTGCTATATTTAATCTTTTTTCAAATTAATTTTCTTGGCAGATTTCTCTGAAATACATTTCAAAAAAAAGAAAAAGGATTATACTAAATTTCTCCTGATCTTTTTTAGCAATTAATGCAAGCTCTTTCTTTCCTCTTCTAAAATCATTTTGCTGTCGATATTTAATTTTTAATTACGCGAAAGAAATAAATGAAAGACCTAGTAATTACCTGGTAATTACCTTAGAGAAGCAATGAAAAATTGTATTAATAATTTACCGATATTACTATTGAACTTATCTAGCAGTTTATGTCATCCATTCATAGCATAGTTCCGGTTAGTCTGTGAGAGCGCGGTTTTTACCAGTTTGAGACTCGGCTTTCCCATTTGAATCACAATGCAAACATAGCGGTGTTTGCGTCTACATCGCGCGGAAGCCGTTCGAGCTGACTTCTGACGGAACTCGGAACCGTATCTACTTCCGATATGCTTGTAAATGCTGCAAATGCACGATGACACAGGTATCGTTGGTGTTTCGAAGAAAATTGAAACGTCTATAAACTCGAGAATTCGCGAAACCTGTGATGTCTAACCGATAGGGATTATTCGTGTTTAAGTGAACACGTCAGACAGATAAATTTGGACACGAATATAGTTAACCTGTTGCTGAAAACATTCCGCAAAATTAGACAATTTATTGTTCTATTTATGCAACATTATGGTCTCGACTCGTCAACACTATTTCTATCTTCTAGTGTGTGTTACAACCTCCCTACAGAAGGAAATGAAGAATCCCACTGCTTATTTATTAATTGCATCAAGGTGTTACATGTCGAATTTTATAAAATAGAAGCATGAAGCTTGAATTAAATTGAAGCTTCATCTGCGAGAAATCGGTTATGTTTTAATACAAAATGTCCTGGCTTTTTGGAAAAATTTGGAATCAATCGCTTCACTTGCCATCAGATGAAATAGTTATCGAGCTTGTTGACATTTTGAGTTCATCGTAGGAAGTCATTCAAAAATCCACTTCACGATGATAAATTCACGATGACGTGAAAGCGATTACAGGTCTCTTAACTCTCCACGATATGACACACCTAATCGGTCGCATCATCGTATCGATTACGGAATTGCGAATAGAATGACGTATACTGAAATTGGCGCCACCACTTTGAAACGCTACAATTCGGGATGCCATTGTCCTATGACGACCATTGTTCTGAATCAGCCGAACCGTGGGATGTATTTTCGAAAAGATTTGCTTCGAGGAAGAAGGCAGACCCGGCCGCGACTACACGGGACTCTTCGAGTAGGCCAAGAACTTGGACAAAACATAAGCCGCTACCCCACCGTTCGAACGTGCGTGCGTACGCTGGATTGTTTACACAATCCCATATATAAGCTGGAAGCACGAGAGTTTGACAATCTCAGTTCACGATTTCACGCCAATCGTTAACATCGTCTTTGCCAGTGCGACCGAAAGAATTTAGAAAAATGTTCGTAACACGTGGTTACCTGTTGATTACCATACTGGCATTCGCATCAAGCGCCCCTAGAAGAGGACGCAGATCGACGGTACCGAGCTGGCACTTACCGTGCGGCGTGTCGTTGGACACGGAACTGCCTTCGATCTCGAACCTCGACGAAGAGATTGGAGCAAGTATAGAGAGCCTCCGGCTTCAGCATCGGTTAGCGATGGACGATTACTTGAACCGGGACTACGAGTACCTTTACGAAAGGGTACGGATCGGCGTCCACGAGCACCAATACATCCCCAACTGGGTACCCGGCGAGAAGGACATCAGCATCGTCAGGAGACTCAACAAAGCCAAACCGCAAATGGTGAGTCCTTCTTTTCTATTCATCGACTAATTTAACGGATCGAAAAGTTCCGCGAAGACACGAGAGGCGAGAGATGATTCTCCTTTGCTATGTTAATTTGCTGGTCGTTAATTGCCCGTTGCATTCGAGGAGGCGTCGCGTCGGCCCGAATGCACCGGGCTGCACCGTAACAGGTGAGCCGCGGCCGGCGCGAATTTTCAGCGACGAATCAATTGACCGTTGGATGTTGCAATTAATTAACGTAACGTTAAATAACAAATTTTAATGAGACGGTAATTATTATAAAGTAGCAGGCGAGCAGAAGTGTGCACGGCTGTTCGGGGTTTGCGCGCGCAACGGGAACCCCGCCGCATGCCGCTTATGCTCGCCGGATCGCGCGACTGCGTAATCGCCGCTTGTCTTCTGCCGCGATGCGTGCAAGCTGATAACGCATCCCTGATAATGCTTCGGCTACTCTATGACGTTCGCTTTATCTGTCCCCGGTGCTTTTTCATTCATTTTGGACCGGCGCGCTGCGCGGAACGCGCGGACTCGCTGCTCCTGGACGCGACCTCCCCTCTCTTGCTCGAACCTAATTTACATCGAGTTCAATTTCTAGACAGAGATACTTAAATGAGACTGCTTTTCTGTTACAGATCGCTAACAATTTTCCGAAATTGCACATGGACCTCCAGAAATTCGCAGTTGCCTTCGAAGAACTGATAGAAGACGAAACGAACCCAAAGGTCTACGAAGCTCTCGAAGCTACACAATCCTATCTGATGATGATGCTTTGCGAAGTGGAAAGCAACATCGTTGCCCTTCCATTTCTTCGTGTTCCATCTCGAGTGGAAAGAAGCATCATGAGCAGGACCGAAAGACACCCCGTTGACGATACTAGAAGATTGGTTCGTGACTGGGGCGTGCTTCTCAAGTACAGAAATTATCTCCACGCTTGGAGGCATGTTTTTAATTTCTAAATAATCCTGTGCAACGAAACGACACTCGGAAGGTGATAACGCGTGACAGCATCGACGAAAATGACGCTGATTGACTTGAACCCTGCAGTGGTCACGCGGATGACATCAGTCGCTGGTATTTCTTACATGGCGACGAATAGTTTTCGACTAATTTAGTGTTCCTTACGTGACAGTGTGCCTGAGGCGCGCAATTTTTTCATTTTCAAAAGTGATGATTATTATCCACATGACCACTGCAAAGTTAACCCTTGTTTGGAGCACGGAGGCCACAGGGACCCCTGATTACTTTCAACTAAGAATCCTCAATCATTTTATCAAATTTCTAAATTCTCTAATGTAGATTAGTTTCCACTTAAGAGGGCTAAATTCAAGGGTTAAATGAATAATTGACTTAGCACCTACTAATCACCGAGTGAAAAACGATAAGGTGTTATAATATATGCGATCAAAGGAATAACGTCGTCGGTGATAATCTTCTGAGATAATCAGATCATTGCGAAACGCACTCAGATAATATCTCATAACTTAATTTATTTATTCATTTATTTATGATCATCGAATAGTAGAGTTAGTATTTATTATTTATTTATGATGTTTTAGAGATAAGATTATTTATTTTAAACGATAATTATTTATTGAAATCGACGGTACCTTCTCAGCTGCCTTGTTTCAAAGGCGATTTATAACGTAAGATTCTGCAACGCAGTTTGTGATAATCTATCGCTTAAGGAAAATGATCGTATCGTTACTGACAAGCGATCACTACTAGCGAATAGATATTTATGAAAGACAATAATTGTAATGTAATTACATTTGTATTGTTCAGTATTATCGGATAAGTGTTTCTATTGCAGGTATTAATTGATGTATTTATATACACCATATTTAATAACTTATTGTCAAATTTTATAACATGTTTCGTAATAAAAAAGTATAATTTACCATAAATTTACCATATTCCGATGATTTAAACAGAAGAACATAATCTTGACCTTATTTCAAAATGGGGTCAATAATTTTGAACCAGCGTATTCATTCCGACGCTTAAAAATCACAAATTCATTCGCAACACTAATTTCTTTAATTATATAATGCAAAAGCGTACGCGTGAAGACTACTGCATTATGCGCAACACTAAGCTGAAAAAAAGAAAAAAAGAAAAAACGCGAACTGTAACGCAACACTACTCAAATCTACCGAATTTTGTAAAACGCAACACTAATCTAAAAAAGGGGTACAGCCAATCCAAGGCTATATTACGGCAGCTGGTCCATAGCTGCCATACGGACCATGGCAACTCCACTGGATCATTTTTGGGCATTTCATCGTATATCGCAACTCTAATCCAAACCGCGAATATTCATTATCGCAACACTAATTAGCAGGGAACAATATAAACTAATGCAAAGCAATCGCGTATTCATAAGTCGCAACACTGGGGAACAATCACGCTAATGTCATCCGCAACGCTATCTTTAACAGACATGCAATTAAAATGCAAAAAAGGGGATTCTCAAACCGTGAATTTTTTATTCGCAACACTAAAGCAATCAACATTAAAAAGCAAACTCTAAAAAATTTCAAACAATCAGCATTACAAAACAAAACTGTCAAAAATCATAAAGCAACCAACATTGAACAGTTAAATTCTATTTTAAAGCAATGCAAGAAAGAAACGCGATGTTTAAAATTCGCAACACTAAATGAAAATCGCGATAATCATGCATACGTAACATTAAATTGAACCGTGATAAATATTCATTCGCAACACTAAATTGAACCGTGGTCAATATTCGCAACACTAAATTGAAAACGCGATTTGCCCAAAATCATGGGGGTCACGGGCCCCCTCCTCTCCTGAAATTACAAAACTACAACTACAGGCAAGCACAGTGACAAAGTAGTAACGATAATGATTTCCCATCCTTTTTTGCAAAAGGATGCAAAATCATTAGTAGTTCCCCTCTTGAAAGACAGTTTGTCGGGGCGCTTCGGCATATAGCCTTTTCTTTCTTCGGGCGGTCCACCCAACTGAAACTTATATCTAAAACTCGAGACTTTATATTCCAGGTACAGGTTGATCACACGAAATCGCGCCAACCCGACCAAGAGACTGTGACAACCTGTCCCGGCCCTACCTACTTACGATCTATCACACACACCAGAAGGTATACTACCTACCTACCTAACCCTATATTTAAAAAATGGCAAAGTCACATTCTCACAAAAATTCATTCCACGATTCTCATACACTCCACCCGGGCGCAAGACCCTACACTAGGGAGAACGTCCCGGGACGCCTCCGTCACCCGAGTTTCATCTCACATCACACTCTAAGGTACGTACCATTTTTCACTGAAATCGTCTGGCATGGATAGCAATCATTGCGTATAATGATAATTACAAGATTTAATTAACTACTTTGATATAGAATATTTCATAACAATGGTAATAATCATGGTAATAGTAATGGTAATAATACTATTTGGTTTGTACGTTCATTGTACATCTTATTGAATAAAATATTATTTCAAATTAAAAGTTAAATGAAAAAGTTATTAAACCGACGCAATCCCACAGCCTAAAAACACACACACCATATGTGGAAATTACGTCGTGCACGATATACTAACACAATGCCAGCCGCTTATTAATTATTATTCTTATGAACTAGGTCATCGTGCCCATTGCCTCTACCCATCCAAGTAGCACCTGGGCACGTGAATGGGCTTTGGCAATAAACACGGAATGGGTTAAACCTGAAAATCCTGATCTACAAACATGATTAGTACATAAACATCTAACGGGCTAATATTTCACTATTTTAATAATAAAAGTGACTCGACTTTGTAAATGTAAAGCTTTAAGAACAAATACTGAAAAGCAAAATAGAGCAACTATGACGCAAACATGGTGCACTGCTAATATCAGCTGGCAACGAAGGGTCTCACGCCCCCTAGACTTACGCCAGACGCTACATACCACCCACCCCGCCTGGACGTCGTAACGCCAGGACAGAGTGCACCCCTTCGCTAAGAGCGCTACCCGCCCGTCCAACACGTTGCATCCAACGGTGTCAGATTTGCGGACGCCCATAGTATAGACAAAAGGACTACAGTTTAGAATATGGTAACATATTTTCATATGTTCCCTATTCTAAAGCTGCGCCTGCAAAGGCCTAGTAATGCATGGGTATATCTCCCAGAGATGGTGTTCACGGTATTATGCCGCGGAATCCTTGTAACTACTTTGATTAATTAAATAATACATGGGATTGAGATTAAAAACCAAAAGGATTCCCACCGAATACTAGTCAGTGCATCGTCATATTTACTCTCGCGTCGCAAATTTAATAAAGGCAAAACTCTAATAAAAAGGAATTTAATGTTAAAATTGAATTTGATATTTTATTAAAAGCAAAATGACTAATTAAAAATTCTTTACAATAAAAAAAGAATATATTGTGAAAATTAATAAAAAATTGAAACATCCACGGGCGACTCCCTCCTCAGAGCAAAATTTCAAGAATACGAAAAAGATGTTCAAGTAGATCACTCTGACTTGGAAATTTACCCGTCGCGAATTGTCTTCTTGCACATAAACTATTCAATGTTTCACTACATAGAAACTTTATATAGAAGTTGATATAGAAACTTTATTACTTGTAAAAAATTCTCAAACTATATTTGAATTTACAATCTACAAAATGTGATTAAATTTATGTAAAAGTATCATTAATATGTATATCCAGTATACATATTACATAATATTATCAATATTATGTCGATTTAAATCGTATTTGACTTCTTCATGATAGAAAAACTGAATAAAATTATTTCAGTATTAAAATATTTCATATTCCAAGTTTCATTATGAAATTGTAACATTTAAAAGCATTCATATATTTCATAAATAAGTATTGGAATATGTGGAATAGAAATGACATTTAAACACGAAGTGCAAGAAGACCTAGCCTGAACTACATAAAATTAAACACAATAAAAATGGTACTACTCATGAGTACAATCATACCCATGGTCACTGTGCAAGCTAACTACATATACAACCAGTAACCCGTGTCGCTTCGGACCATTCGTCCTACGACATGATTGGGCACTGGAGGAACCATAAAACATGCGACTCACCGTTCGCAGATATACTCTTCTTCCAACAGTCAGGTAGGAGGATGCTCAACAACCAGGTAGAAGGCTGCACAACTACTAGGTAGCAGGTTGGCTTATAGGAGGACGGAAGTCGTGAAGGAAATCATCGGCGCAGTCATCAGGGTGTTCAGGAACTCGGCAAAATTCAGAAATACATCTGTAACAGAACAAAAAAAAATTATGGTTAATTATGAAATTTATCAACCTTTATTCTTATAAGATTATAGATGAATTTAAATTTTATAAAATATTAGCAATTAAAAAGAACTCTCAATTATCAAGTGTTCAAATTGTAAATTATTATATTTCAATTAAAATGAATTAAATAAGTTAAGATCAATTAAAAAAAAAAATTAAAATTAATAATAAAGATATGAAATACTAATAAATACTCAATAAAACAAAAGTAATAAAAAATGTTAATAATTGAATAGAATAAATTAAAACAATAAATTCTTACCAAATTCTATTTCAAACTCATATAAAGGGTCATGGCGTCCTTCCAATATGCATCAAATATCTGTAACAAAAACGAAATACGAATTGATGTATATAAAATGTAGTCAACAATAATAAAGTTATCATTAATAAACGATCGAACTATAATTTATGCAAAATATTTTAATAGATACAATGCTCACCTACTAAGTACTTATGCGGAAGGGTGCTCTCACCAAGGTCGTATCCTCCCAAAGACTGGTCGGCACGTAGGCATTGTTCTGTATATTTCACTATCGGCCGATACCTAACCAAGTACACCAACAGGTCTAAACAGAAATAATATTACGATGCTCAAGAAAGAACGTTATTAAATTAAAAACATCAAATTGTGTGAAAGAGTACAAAAAACATTCAATTTAGGAACTTGACGATATATAAATTAGAAAATAATTCAGTTTCTGCTGTTCTACTCTTGTTGCGTATTAGCGACAAGAGCAAAAATTTTCAACTCACGTTTTTTTGAAGAAAACGCCGAATTAATGTCAAATATCAACAATCTAGGCTTCTCTTCGATGTTTCTCTCTGTTTTTTGTACTTTTAACACCCGATCGGCAATTTAATTTAATATTTGAAGATAATTTAATCTTACCTGTTGCAGACACGTGAACAACGGACGAAACTTCGAAGAGGACTGATGCACTCCACGAGTAACGATGAATCTGATTGGTCTAAATAGGTGGACGCCATAATGGATGCCAGGTGGACGACCAATCACAAGCATTGGTAGAAACTTCAAACTGCTTTGTAACTTTAACATTAAAAAAACGGAAAGATTCGTTGAAAATTATCAACGCCATATTGAAATGAAGTCAAAATTATTTTTTTCACTTTAAAGCACCGAAATATGAAAAAAGATAGAAAAATGCATAAGAGATTAATGGTATTTAATAAATTATCACAGTAAAAGCAGAATAAATGAGAAATATGGTATTTTAATTCGTATCTGTATCGACAAAATAGGGTATAAATTTTCAGCTTACGCATTTCTGAAGACAATATGAAAATGATGTCAGAAGTCATGACTCCGGTCTTCTCTTCAACTTTTTCTTCTGTTTCTTGTATTTTTGATACCTAATACAGAATTTAATCACATAAGTACACGAGCTGCGATTGATTGCATTGTCGAGCATACTAACCGAATGAACTGCGTCCTACAGAAAATACGGGGAACTAAATTTGTGGTCTGTTGGTAAA